ACTGCAGTGAACCCTCTCACACCTGCCCTTTGCACAGGTGGAGTTGCTAGGTCAAAGGATACACAGGTGGTTTGTCATTTTGGGTAAGCATGCCATCAAACTGCTCCCTATTATGGTTGTACTAACTGACCCCGCATTGCAGGAACAGAACCCACGAACTCTAACCCAAAGCCAAGGCCATTCTAATCAGGTCTATGACTACACCAAATGTCATGTTGAGGTCCAAAGGGAGCTTGGATAGATGGAGCAGAAAGAACACTCAGGGGGCTGCAGGCAGGTAAAAGACTTTTATTCAGCAGCAGCTCTCATCAGCAGCTTTACGCTGTCTTCCCTTGTCTGCCTTCCTTCCTTCCTTCCTTCCTTCCTTCCTTCCTTCCTTCCTTCCTCCCTCCCTCCCTCCCTCCCTCCCTCCCTCTCTCTCTCTCTTTCTTTCTTTCTTTCTTTCTTTTTTTGAGACAGAGTCTCATTCTGTGACCCAGTCGGGAGTGTAGTGATGTGATCTCGGCTCACTGCAACCTCTGCCTCCTGGGTTCAAGCAATTCTCATGCCTCAGCCACTCGAGTAGGTGGGGTTACAGGTGTGCACCACCACACCTGGCTAAGTTATTTTTAATTTTTAGTAGAGACAGGGTTCCACCATGTTGGCCAGGCTGGTCTCGAACTCTTGGTCTCATATGATCTGCCTGCCTCAGCCTCCCAACGTGCTGGGATTACAGGCATGAACCATCGTGCCCGGCCAGCATTCAATCTTAATTATTAAATTGATTGATAATTAAGCTCTGCACTGTCAGTTGTATCTACAGCTTCTATAGTGATCTGACAGCAGAATGGTTACACGTATTTAACAGGTTATAAGAGGAGCTGTGAATATTCATGAAGGCGGTCCTGACACAGGTGTATTGAATTAATGAATATGCATGTAATATAGGGTCCATGTTCATTTTGGGATGCAGACCTAACATTTAAATGTACAGTTAGATTTTATCTGTCAAAAGGTCTTTTCAGTACACAAAGGCATGCAGATGTGTAATTTCTGTCATTCAGCCAGAACTAGTGCATGGTCAGTGGGCGTTTATCAGGAGAAAGTTACTAGAGTCTCTTGTCTCATTAAAATTGTAATTATGGCTGGTGGGATAGGAAATGGGGATCAGTTGTTCAGCCTCTAGTGAAGCCATAAATTGTTTTTTTGTTCGTTTGTTTTTGTTTTTTTGTTTTGTTTTGTTTTGTTTTTTTGAGATGGAGTCCGGTTCTGTTGCCCAGGCTGGAGTGCAGTGGTGCAATCTCAGCTCACTGCAACATCCACTGCCCAGGTTCAGGCAATTCTTCTGCCTCAGACAGGATTACAGGTGGTTGCCACCACACCTGGCTAATTTTTGTATTTTTAGTCGAGATGGGGTTTCACCACCTTGGCCAGGCTGGTCTCGAACTCCTGACCTCACGTGATCCACCTGCGTTGGCCTCCCAAAGTGCTGGGATTATAGGCACGAGTCACTGCACCTGGACTTTGATTAGGCTTTCACCAAATACAAAATGTACATCTGGGGGAATGGTCACTTATGCCTTTTTTGTTTTGTTTCATTTTGTTTTATTTTGTTTTGTTTTGAGACAGAGTTTCACTCTTGTTGCCCAGGCTGGAGTGAAATGGTGCAACATCAGCTCATTGCAAACCTCTGCCTTCCGCATTCAAGCAGTACTCCTGCCTCAGGCTCCTAAGTAGCTGGGATTGCAGGCACCTTCCACCACACCTGGCTAATTTTTACAGGCATGGTGGCTCACGCCTGTAATCCTAGAACTTTGGAAAGCTGAGGCAGGTGGATCACCTGAGGTCAGGACTTTGAGACCAGACTGGCCAAGATGCTTCAAGATATCCCGCCTTTTGGGGCCAAAGCATTTTATGGATTGATTGATGACTTTGCCTGTAACCTCAGCCTCCCTGCCTTTAAAAATCTTTCCATATGGGCCGGTTAGTCCTGTAATCCCAGCACTTTTCAGAGGCCATGGCAGACAGATCACTTGAGGTCAGGAGTTCAAGACCAGCCTGGCCAACATGGTGAAGCCCCAACTCTAATAAAAACAAAAACAAAAACAAAACTACAAAATTAGCCAGGTGTGGTAGTGCACATTTGTAGTCCCAGCTACTTGGGAGGCTGAGAAATTGCTTGAACCCAGGAGGCAGAGGCTATAGTGTGCCACTGTACTATAGCCTAGGCAACAGAGCAAGACTCCATCTCAAAAAAAAAAAAAAGATGTGATTCCCAGTATGAGATTGACAATGAAAAAGAAACGCGTTGGCTGGGCATGGTAGTTCATGCCTGTAATCCCAGCACTCTGAAAGGCCGAGGCAGGTGAATCACCTGACATCAGGAGTTCAAGACCAGCATGGCCAACATGGTGAAACCCTGTCTCTACTAAAATACAAAAATTGGTCGGGCGTGGTGGTGGGCACCTGTAATCCCAGCTACTCAGAAGACTGAGAGAGAATCGCCTGATCCCGGGAGGCAGAGGTTGCAGTGAGCTGAGATGGCACCTCTGCACTCTGGCCTGGGTGACAGAGCTAGACTCCATCTCAACAAAAAAAAAAAAAAAAAAAGAAAGAAAAAAGAAAGCATCTTCTCTGATACCTTTTAGTCTTTTTCTTTTTGGAAATGAGGTCTCACTCTGTTACCCAGACTGGAGTGCAGTGGCACAATCTCGGCTCACTGCAACCTCTGCTTGCCAGGCTCACTCAATCCTCCTTCCTCAGCCTCCCATATATCTGCGACTGTAGGTGTGTGCCACCCCACCTGGCTAATTTTTTTATTTTTAAATTTTTTGTAGAGACAGCAGTCTCGCTATGTTGTCCAGGCTGGTCACAAACCCCTGGGCTCAAGTTATCCTCCTGCCTTCACCTCCCAAAGTGCTGGGATTACAGTTGAGCTGCTGTGTCCATGCCCTTTAGTCTTTTAGAATATTTTACAAAACAATGTAGGTAAACAAAAGGCTAATCCCTAATCAGAGGAACAAAGATTACAGCTGCCTAGGTTACAGAGGTCTGCCCTGTGACTTAAGTCCCACAGTCTCATTCCTTTAAAACTCCAAATAATTTAAAGTTCCAACAGCTTTGACTTTGAATTACTGATTTTTCCTTTTTTTGAGATGGAGTTTTGCTCTTGTCGCCCAAACTCAATTGCAATGGCTTGATCTCAGCTCACTGCAACCCCCACCTCCTAGGTTCAAGCGGTTCTTGTGCCTCAGCCTCCTAAGTAGCTGGGATTACAGGTGCCTGCTGCCATGCCAGGCTAATTTTTGTATTTTTAGTAGAACTGGGTTTCACCATGTTGGCCACACTGGTCTTGAACTCCTTACCTCAGATAATTCACCCTCCTCGGCCTCCCAAAGTGCTGGGATTACAGGTGTGAGCCACCATGCCTGGTCTGAATTACTGATTTTTACAAACTATATAAACTTTTGCATCCTACTTTTTTTTTAACTTGTGTTAAATTTGGCCTAAAGTTGCCTCATAAACAGTGAACTCTATCCTAATGTAAGCATTTCACTAAAAGACATTTAGTAAACATTTAGTAAACATTTCACTAAAGGAATATAAAAGTAAAATTTAAAAAAAAGAAAATACGAGAAGAAGAGCATAAACATTTGGGGAAAAGCCTTTAGGCTTTGTCAGTTCCTAGAATGTATTTATTTTCACTACGCTGGGGACTCCATTTCCAGTATTAAGGTCCATTTTCAGAAGGTTGATTTGGTGAGCGTGAAAAAAGGGGGTGGGGGAGTAATCGTACAAACAATTGTGTCCAGGCCAGGTTCCTAGGACCTGAGGGCCCCCTCTTTATGGCAGAGGCACCTGACATCCGTAACTAATGTGAACCCTGAGAATGACTTTATGGTCTAAGAAAAATGTGTGTTCAGAGCCCCAAGCTAAGGAATCAGGAGTGGCAAGATCCAGGAAGAATGCCAACCTATGAAACCCTGAGTCAAGAGGTTAAGCTGGGCACTTGGTTTCTCTAGTCGCCCACTTGGCCCTCTTCCAAGTTGTACTTTCTCTCTTTCCTATCCTTCCTGTTCTAAAGTTTTTTAATAAACTTTTTTTTCTCTTTTTTTTTTGAGATGTTGTCTCACTCTTTAGCCCAGGCTCGAGTACAGTGGTTCAATTTCGGCTCATGGTACCTCTGCCTTCCAGGTTCAAGCGATTCTCCTGCCTCAGCCTCCCGAGTAGCTGGGATTACAGGCACTGACTACCACACCCAGCTAGTTTTTATATTTTTAGTAGAGATGGGGTGTCACCATGTTGGCCAGGCTGTTCTCAAACGCCTGACCTCAGGTAATCCACCCGGCTCAGCCTCCTGAAGTGCTGGGATTACAGGCTTGAGCCACTGTGCCCGGCCTATGTTTTAACAAACTTTTACTCCTGCTCTGTAACTTGCCTCCATTTGGGTTTCTGCCTTATGACCCTCAGTCTAATTCTTTCTTCTGAGGAGGCAAGAATTGAGGTAGTTGCAGAGGTGTACGGATTCATCACCAGGAACTTGGACACCTACCACCAGTAATGGGTGGAGGATGCTAGGTGAAAATGTTATGTAAGCTGCATGCTTTTTACAAATGGTAGTGCTTCTCATGTCCAGCCATGGCCAGGGCACCTTCCCTGTATGAAAGTCCCCTCCATAAACCTATGTCTCCTTTGCCGTCTTCAGATCTCCTCCTCTACCCTCTTCCACACGGTGCCTTCCCTACTGGAGTAGGGTGGGGTCTCGCAGGAAACCCTCTCCCTGCAATTTTTTTTTTTTTTTTTTTTTTTTTTGGTGATAGAGTCTTGTTCTTTCACCCAGAGCTAGAGTGCAGTGGTGTGATCTCGGTTCACTGCAACCTTCGCCTCCCGTATTCAAACGATTCTCCAGCCTCAGCCTCCCTAGTAGCTGGAATTACAGGCACCCACCACTACGGCCCATTTTTTTTTTTCTTTTTTTTTTTTTAGTGGAAACGGGGTTTCGATATGTTGTTCAGGCTACTCTTGAACTCCTGGCCTCAAGTGATCTGCTTCGCTCGGGTTCCCAAAGTGCTGGTTACAGGCGTGAGCCACTGCGCCAGGCCCTCTCCCTGCATCTTTACGTGCCTGCAACGCCAAGAGGGAGCTCTTGGCCCCCGGGTTAGGATCAGGGCCCCAGAGGCCCAGGGTCAAGGCTACAGGCCGCATCCCAAGGACGTGCATCCCTCCAAGAGGCTGCATCCAACAGGCATAGAAGAGGCTCTGCTGGAGCCTGCTCGGTGTCAGGCTGGGGAAAGCCAGTGGAAGTGCTTCTTGAAGAAAGAGGGGAATCCCACCTATCTCAGGGGTTCTGTTCTGGTCTGCAGCCCTGGATCGTCAGGACTGGGCCGAGGTGGGGAGCAGACTTCACCCTTCTTGGCTGGGGCTGAGGGTGAGGGTCCTGCTTGAAGGGCCTAGCCCTGGGTTCCCAGCCACCGGCTCCACTCTGTAGCGCCTGGCCCCGCCCAGCCCCTCAAGGCCTGGCAGTCGCCCTCAACAAAGATGGCAAGGATGGCCTCAGGCGCGTCGCGTGTCACGTCGCGCGAGATGCAGGGCTCGCGCTGCTCTAAGACGCGTAGACGGCGGCCCAGCGGAGGAGCGGAAAGTGTGGTCTGTGGGGCTGCTTGACGCCTGGTAGGCGCTCAGGCCGCTGTTATGGGGCTGCGCGCTGGCGCTGCAGGGCGGAATGCCATACCACTGAGAGAGGCCGTTGCGGGAGCGCAACAAGCTGGAGGCCTCTGGAGCTTCCGTGCCGACTTCTTCGACATCAGGTGCGGTGGCTTCTAGGTGCAGTGTTATCGGTGTCCGCTGCGAGAGGTGCGTGCTTGGGGCAGGGACGGGAGGTCCCCGGAAGCCCGGGGGCGGGAGTGGAGGAGCCCGGGCCCCCCGGCAGGCTCCTTCACCTGGGCGTCCGGAGCTGGGAGCCTGGAGGAGGTTAAAGGTCAACGGGCTTGGGTGCGCCGGGTTGGGGGACAGGTGGACGGGGGGACCCAGGATGGCTGAGGAGGAGGAGGAAGCGCTTCTGCGGAGTCCCCTCCGTGGGCGAAGGCTTAGCCCGGGCAGTATCAATCTTTTTAGTATTTATTTTTAATTTAAAAAAAATTTTTGAGACTGGGTTTGGCCCTGTCACCCATGTTGGAGCGCAGTGGTGCAATCCTAACTTCTAAGCTCAAGCGATCCTCCCACCCCAGCCTTGCAAGTTAGCTGGAGCCACCATGCCTGGCTAATTAAAAAAAAACCGAGGCCGGTCACAGTGGCTCACACCTGTAATCCCAGCACTTTGGGAGGCCAAGACCGGCGGATGACGAGGTCAGGAGATTGAGACTCTCCTGGCTAACACGGTGAAACCCTGTCTCTGCTGGCCGGGCACGGTGGCTCAAGCCTGTAATCCCAGCACTTTGGGAGGCCGAGACGGGTGGATCACGAGGTCAGGAGATCGAGACCATCCTGGCTAACACGGTGAAACCCCGTCTCTACTAAAAATACAAAAAACTAGCCGGGCGAGTTGGCGGGCGCCTGTAATCCCAGCTACTCGGGAGGCTGAGGCAGGAGAATGGCGTAAACCTGTTGGGAGACCGAGATGGGGCGGATCACGAGGTCAGGAAATTGAGACCATCCTGGCTAAACACCGTGAAAACCCTGGGTTCTGCTAAAAGAAAAAAATAGAAAAAGAAAGAAAGAAAAAAATTAGCCTGGTGTGGTGGCGGGGTCTGTAGTTTCAGCTACTCGGGAGGCTGAGGCAGAATGGCATGAACCCGGGAGGCGGAGCTTGTAATCAGCAGAAATCGCCCCACTGCACTCCAACCTGGGCTACAGAGGGAGACTCCGTCTCAAAAAAAAAAAGAAAAGAAAAAATATGCCCGTGCTCGGTGGCGCACGCCTGTAATGCTAGCACTCTGGGAGGCCGAGACGGGTAAATCACCTGAGGCCAGGAGTTCAAGTCCAGCCTGGCCAACATGGTGAAACCCCATCTCCACTGAAAATATAAAAACTAGCCGCGTGGGGTGGTGCATATCTGTAATTCCAGCTACTTGGGAGGCTAAGCCAGGAGAATCACTTGAACTCAGGAGGCAGAGGTTGCAGTGAGCTGAGATCACCCCACTGCACTCCAGCCTTGGTGACAGAGTGAGACTCTTGTCTTGAAAAAATAATAATAATAACTTTTTTATTTTTTAAGATATAGAGTCTCACTACGTTGCCCAGGCTGGTCTCGAACTCCTGGCCTCAAGCCATCCTCCCACGTTAACCTCCCAAAGCACTGATTACAGACATGAGCCACCCAGACACTGGGGGGCCAGAGTGGCAGGTGCTGCACAGAGCTGGGCCTAGGGATCAGGAGGAGGAGACAGTATAGACGTCCTGAGGTCAGCTCTGCCAAGGCAGGAAGGCCCCTTGGTTTTCAACGTTCAGATACAGGACATGATGTGACAGGCCAAGGACGCCACCCCTGTTCCCCTCCTGACTTGGATGTGGTCAGGAGAGAAGTGGGACCAGGTGAGGTCTGGGCCACTTTTGCCTGGTCTGCATCCTCTTTTTCTGACTTTGTGGCATTCAGTACAGGAGGAAGAGAGGAGAGAACTGGGTGCTAGCGTGCGCCCCACTCAGTGTCCTAAGGAAAGCCCCCCCAAACCCCCCAACCAGCCTTCCTCCCTGTGACAGGCAGTGGGTCATTTACCTCTTAGTCACCAGTCTAAACCTTCTTGCCTTGAGCTGGGATGTGGCCCTGGGCTCGCTCGTGTCTCCAGAGATATTGGGCCCCATCCACTCCGAGGAGGGACTCCTGGCCCCACTGGCCCAGGTGCACAAACCGCCCTGACAGTTGACCTGTCCTCAGCAAGTTATCTGTCTGTTTTGCTAAGATTCCCCGCTATGTGTCAGGGCTTGCGCTAGACCTGGGGGCACAGCTGTGCAGCACACTGGTCCTGGATCCCTTTGGGGGCCTAGGAGCTGAGACTGGCCCTTCTTTCCACAGTCGGGCCCCACCCTGGACATGCCGGTTCCTTCCAGCTTCAACGACATTGGTCAGGACTGGCGGCTGCGGCATTTTGTCAGCCAGGTGTGGTATGAACAGGAGGTGACCCTGCCGGAGCAATGAACCCAGGACCTGCGCACAAGAGTGGTGCTGAGGCTTGGCAGTGCCCACTCCTATGCCATCGTGGTCAGTGCAGCCAGGAGCAGGCAGGGCGGGTGGGTGGGCATGGCTGCTGAACAGCCTTTCTCCTGGGGTGGGACTGTGGGGGGCCCTGCCCTGCCCTGGGGGCTGTGCCCTGTGTAGGGGGATAGGTGGCCTGATCTACCCCATTGGGATGCCATTCTTCCCGTCTGACTGGCAGGCCCCTGAGCTCCATGCTGTAGTTTATGTGAGGGAGTGCCCAATAGCAGGGCCCCTCCTCATGCCCTGACCTGCCCCCCACCCTCCCCATATCCCCTGTGTCTACAGTGGGTAAATGGGGTCAATGCGCTAGAGCATGAGGGGTCTACCTCCCCTTCAAGGCTGACATCAGCAGCCTTTTCAGGAGATGCCTGTTGCCTGTTTTCCCCGGGGCAGGAATTGAAGGGAGCCGCCCAGGCTGGAGTGGTTCAGCCTGGGCTGTCACAAGCCTTTGAAGCTTCCCATCTTCAAGCCTGGCTGTTGGAGAGTGTGGGTTTGGAACTTGAGGATAGGGGGTTCTCTTCTGTCCTGTGCCAGCCACAGCCAGCTTTGAATGGGCAGAGCAATGATGGAGGGAGGGTGTAAAAGAAGAAATGAACTTAGGAAAGAGAAGAGGAAAAGAGGCTTCAACAACAGTCTAGGCCGAACATGATGGCTCATGTCTGTAATCCCAGCACTTTGGGAGGCCGAGGTGGGTGGATCACTTGAGGTCAGGAGTTCAAGACCAGCGTGACCAACAGATAATGAAACCCCATCTCTGCTAAAAATACAAAGATAAGCCGGGCATGGTGGTGTGCGCCGGTAATCCCAGCTACTCGGGAGGCTGAAGCAGGAGAATCACTTAAAACCAGGAAGGGGAGGTTGTACTCCAGCCTGGGCTACAGAATGAGACCCTGTCTCTAAAAAAGAAATTACTGTAGAGGCCTTGGGCGGGTGCTGGGAGCTCTGACCACAGGCTGGTCCCTCTGTTGGGTTTTTCTTCCCTTTATCCCTCCTGGTTAACTTGACCTGGCATAAAGGCTGTTTCTTCTAAGAGGCTGTCCCTGACTCTCCAGTCCAAGTTGTGTTTATTGTCTTGCAGAGCCCAATTCCTGCCACCACTTGTCATTTCCATTTGCAACATTTCTTTCATTGTTTCTTTTTCAGAGTCAGAGTCTTGCTCTATTGCCCAGGATGGAGTGCAGTGGTGCAATCATGGCTTGTTGCCACCTCAACCTCCTGGGCTTAAGCGATCCTTCCCCTCAGCCTCCCAGAGAGCTGGGACCACAGATGTGTCCCACCATGCCAGGCTATTTTTAATTCCACCCCCCCCCCCCCCCCACTGAGATGTCTCTTGCTCTGTCGCCCAGACTGGAGAGCAGTGGTGCAATCTCAACTCACTGCAACCTCTACCTCCTGGGTTCAAGCAATTCTCTTGCCTCAGCCTCCCGAGTAGCTAGGATTATGGGCAGGTGATACCAGGCCCAGCTAGTGTTTTTTTTTTTTTTCTTGTTTTTTTTGTAGAGATGGGGTTTCACCATGTTGGCCAGTCTGGTCTTGAGCTCTTGACCTCGTGATCCACCTGCCTTGGCCTCCCAAAGTGCTGGGATTATAGGTGTGAGCCACCATGCCCCACCCTAATTTATACATTTGTTATAGAAACAGGGTCTTGCTATGTTGCCCAGGCTGGTCTCGAACTCCTGGTCTCTAGGAAGCCTCCTGAAGTGCTGGGATTCTAGGCGTGAGCCACCTTGCCCGGCACTTGCACCATTTCTCTGTGCATGTTTCTCCATTCCCACTGCCCAGGACCTGTGGCCTTCGATTTGAGTCACTACTGAGCACCTCGCACCAAGCCCCATGCCTACCTCACAGCCTGCACTCCCTGTTCGCTTGATGCATTAGTAAATATCCCTCCTGAATCTGCACCCATCCATTCCTGTGTTCAAGAGCTGTTTCAGAGAGTCAACCTCATTTTTGGCAGTGTCCAGCCCACTGACCTCTGCTCTGTGTGCCTGGAAGGGTGGCTGCTCCTCTGGGGGGATAGGATTCGGAGGCAGGGGAAGAAAGAGTGATGTTAGAGAGCTCGGTCTAGGACTAGAGGATCATGTGCCCTTACGTAAAATACATCTCAGGTTAGGGAAGAAAGCAGTGGCTGCATGTTTTTTTTCTTTTTGTTTGTTTGTTTGTTTTGAGACAGGGTCTTGTTCTGTGGACCAGGCTAGAGTGCAGTGGCGCAATCTCGGCTCACTGCAGCCTCCATGTCCCGGGTTCAAGCGAGTCTCGTGCCTCAGCTTCCGAGTAGCTGGTGATACAGACGTGCCACCATGACCGGCTAATTTTTGTATTTGTAATAGAGATGGGGTTTTGCCATGTTGGCCAGGCTGATCTTGAACCCCTGACCTCAAGTGATCTACCCTCCTTCGGCCTCCCAAAGTGCTGAGATTAAAGGTATGAGCCATTGTGCCTGGCCCCGTGTTGTGTTCTGATGGGGGAAGATGGGACAGAAATCCTTCGCCTCCCAAAGTGCTGAGATTAAAGGTGTGAGCCATCGGCCTGGCCCCGTGTTGTGTCTCTGATGGGGGAAGATGGGACAGAAAGGATGGGAGGTGTCTGAGCCCTTCCTGGACTGACGGAACCTGTGCTCTTCTGTCAGGACAGGATGGTGATCGGGCCACACCAAAGCCTTGGACCCTTCCCGGCCTATGACCTTTGTGACCAACTCCAACTATGTAGCAGACAAGAGGGTGAACCTGGGGGTCCCCACCCCATTTTTCCCCACCTTTGCCTGGGCTTGTCCTGAAGTCTGCTCATGGGAACAGCTGGAAAGAACCATGAGCTGCCAGTGTGGGATTTTTTGTTTTGTTTTTTTACTTGAAAAATAGAGACAGGGTTCGCCACGTTGCCCAGGCTGATCTCGAACTCCTGGGCTCCAGTGAACCTCCTGCCTCAACCTCCCAAAGGGCTGGGGTTACAGGTGGGCCAATGCACCCAGCTGCAGCCAGTCTGTTTTCAAAGATGGTCTTTGGGTTAATGAGAATTCTCTCCCTGCTTACTCACCAGGCAGCGTGGCTTTCTGAATCCAGGGAGGCTGGGCATAGGGAGATGGGATTTGTTTGCTCAGTTTGGACTCAGCGTTTTTTGCACTTTGATTTACTAGACTCATAGAATGTCAAAGGTTTAAGGGGGCTTAGAGTTCATCTGGCCCACACCTGGCTGATCAGAATCTCTAGGGGAAGTTTTTTTGAAATGGCAGATCTCCACATTCTGAGATCCTGATTCAGTAATTCCTGGGTTGGAACCTGGAGTTTTCTTTTCTCTGTAGATGCAAGGTGTTACTCTGTTGCCCTAGCTGGAGTGCAGTGGTGCGATCACAGCTCATTGCAGCCTTGAGGACTGTGGGCTCAGGAGAGAGAGGGAAGTCCTGTTTATTGTTGCTTCCAAGGTACTCTGCAATATCTGACACAGCATGCGGTAAATAATACCTATTGAGGGCATGGGTGAGATCTTAGAGCCACGTTTAATCACTCACTTTGTCCGGTTTTTTTTTTTTTTTTTTTTTTCGAGATGCAGTCTTGCTCTGTCACCCAGGCTGTAGTCCAGTGGTGTGATCTCAGGGCTTCTCACCAAGGCCGAGATGGACCGGATACTACATGGCCTAGACAAGGTACTTGCCGTGGCCCAAGCCCCACCTGAGACCCCCTCCCTGTGGCCACAGGCTCCCACCAAATCCCTGAGCAAATAGTGCAGTGTTACCAGTCTGTGGTTTCACGTTGAACTAAGTATATTCTCATGTGCTGTTTAACTGGGTGCCTTGATGACCGCCTCTCTCCATCCTTTAATGATCCCTGTGGCCTATATGGCTCATGGGTAAAGGTGTGCAGGGCCCCAGATGCACCTTCTCAGGGTGCGCTTTCAGGACTCAGCTCCTGGACAGGAACAGTCAGTCATCACGGATACCGTGGGACCAGGACAGGGGCCCTCTTGGCTGCTGATGCCTGCTCACCTGACCCCTGGCATTGCTGCTACCCGCTATAGGTGGTTGAGGAGTGGGCCCAGGGCACCTTCACACTCAACTCCAATGATGAGGACATCCACACAGCCAATGAGCGCCGCCTGAAGGTACGACCCATGGAGCCCCACCGCTTTCCTGGCCTCCCCTCTCCACCTTGCCCAGGGCATCATTCTGTTTACTTCGTCATTGGCAGACAGCAGGTGAGACCTCAGGACATGCGCCAGGCGCGGTGGCTCATGCCTATAATCCTAGCACTTTGGGAGGCTGAGGTGGGAGGATTGCTTGAACTGGGGAGATGGAGATTACAGTGAGCGGAGATCACGCCATTGCGCTCCAGCCTGTGTGACAGAGCAATACTTCATCTAAAAACAAAGGAAAAAAAAACTGTTTCTTGAAGCTAGTCAACTAGCAGCACCAGCATCACCTCAGAACTCCTGAGAAATGTGATGTGAGGCCCCACTCTAGATGGTTGAATCAGAGACTCTGGGGGTGGTCCCCAGGGATGTATATTTATTTTATTTATTTATTTTTTTGAGATGGAGTTTCACTCTTGTTGCCCAGGCTGGAGTGCAATGGCGTGATCTTGACTCACCGCAACCTCCACCTCCCAGGTTCAAGCGATTGCCTCAGCCTCCCGAGTAGCTGGGATTACAGGCATGCACTACCACGCCTGGCTAATTTTGTATTATTAGTAGGGACGGGGTTTCACCATGTTGGCCACGCTGCTCTCAAACTCCCGACCTTAGGTGATCCGCCCGCCTCAGCCTCCCGAAATGCTGGGATTACAGGTGTGAGCCACCATGGCTGTCCAGTAATTTGTATTTTTCATAAATTCTCCAGTCACTATGCCTGGTGGCTCACACGTGTAATCCCACCACTTTGAGAGGTTGAGGCAGGAGCATCACTTGAGCCCAGGAGTTCAAAACCAGCCTGAGCAACATAGCGAGACCCTGTCTCTAAAATTAAAAAAATTAAATTAGCCAGTCATGATGGCGTGTACCTGTGGTCCTAGCCACTCTGGAGACTGATGTGGGAGGATCCCTTGAGCCCAGGAGGTCAAGGATGCAGAGAGCCATGATTGCGCCATTGCACTCCAACCTGGGTGACAGAGCAAGACCCTGTCTCAAAAAAGCCCAAATCAGCAACAACAACAAATTAACTGGGTATGGTGCCGTGCGCGCTTGTAGTCCCAGCTATTCAGGAAGCCAAGGCTGGAAGATCCCTTGAGTTCAGGCTGCAATGAGCTGTAATGGCCACTGTACTCCAGCCTGGGCAACAGAGCAAGACCCTGTCTCCTACAACAGAAAACAAATCCTCCAGGAACATCTGATGCATGCTAAAGATAAGGACTCTTTGAAAACATAAAGGCCAGTAAAACCTACAGGCCAGTAAGCATTAATAGTGTATGTAAATATTATCAGTAATTATGGAGAAGATGGTTCAAGCTGAGAGTGAGACAGAGCCGAGTGGTAAGAGAGGATCTGCCCAAGGCAGGGACATCCTGGCAGAGGAACAGGTCCTGGGTTTGACAGCTTCAGACCCCAGGGTGCCCAGGGCTCACCACTTGCCTACCTGTGCCCTCAAGTTCACTGAGAGAACATGGACAGGCCCTCAACCCCGACATACTGGCCACTGACCTCGCCTACTACCTGGTCTGCAAAGAGGTGAGTGTGTATCAGCCAGGGGGAGGTTGAGGAGATGGGGTGCCCCTCAGAGGGTAGGGGAGCTCAGGGTGCATGTTCCCTGGCCTGGTGACTCACACCTGTAATCCAGCACTTTGGGAGGCCTAGGTGGGTGGGTAACTTGAGGTCAGGAGTTCGAGACCAGCCTGGTCAACGTGGTGAAACCCCCGTCTCTACTAAAAATACAACAGTTAACCGGACGTGGTGGCACAGTCATATAATCCCAGCTTCTCAGGAAGCTGAGGCAGGAGAATCGCTTGAACCTGGGAGGTGGAGGTTGCAGTGAGGTGAGGTCGGGACACCACTCCAGCCTGGGCAACAGAGTGAGACTTTGTATCAAAAAAAAAAAAAAAAAAGGAAGAGGCGCAGGCAATGGTAGCAGATCAGGGCGTGGAGGAAGCTGCCTCAGTGCCACCTTCCTCCCCAGCACCCAGATGCCATTCTGCCAGGCCCACAAGGCCTCTGGGAAAGCCGTGTTCATGGCTGAGTCCAAGGGGGTCACCGTCAACCAGCTGTCATTGCAGGAGCTGCACATCATCAGGTGCGGCGCACCTTTTTCCCGACACTGCCTTCTAAGAGGTGAGCTTGGGTGCCTGGAGGCCAGGGTGGCCCGGTGGCCTGGCCCACCTCTTCCTCTCTCCCCAGCCCCCTGTTCTCAGGTGACATGAGCCACGTGTGGGACTATGGGCACAGTGTGGGGCAGTATCGTGCCCTGGGTGGCACTGCGTGCTCCGGCGTCAACAGGCAGATCCGCCAGGTGCAGGCACTATTGCAGGCACAGCAGGCTTAGGTCCTCCCATGCCTGGCCCCACATAAAGTGGGCACAAGAGGACACTGCTGCGTGTTTCTTGCCCCAGCCTGGCTCCCTCATTGCTGCGCTTTCCAGGGCTGGCCAGTGGGGATGGTCAGGGACTGGAGAGGCAGGGCGGGGTGGCCTGTAATCCTAGCACTTTGGAAGGGCAAGGTGCAAGGATGCTTGAGGACAGGAATTTGAGACCAGCCTGGACAACACAGGGAGACTCCTGTGTTATTACCTGTACCTAATAATAAAACAAATAATTAGTCCAGCATGGTGGGGCATGCCTGTAAGTCCCAGCTACTTGTAAGACTGCGGCAAGAGGATCACTTACGTTCAGGAGTGGAGCTGCAGTGAGCTATGATCACGCTGCTGCATGCCAGCCTGGACAACAGAGTGAGACCCTGTCTCTGAAAGAAAAACTTAAAAAAATAAAATGGAAGCAGAGAAAACTGGGCAAAGGCAATGAGAATCATAGATAGGAAGGGAAGAGGGGGCTCCTGTCCTAGCCTCCACCTGGTCCAGGCCCCATCCCCTTCAAACAGGGTATCACAGTGACCTCAGGCCAGGATCAGTGGCTCATGCCTGTAATTCTAGCACTTTGGGAGGCCTGGGCAACATAGCAAGACCTCAGCTAACACATTAAAAAAAAAAAAATACCCAAGCGGGTGTGGTGGCTCACACCTATAATCCCAGCACTGTAGGAGGCTGAGGCTGGTGGATCATTTGAGGTCAGGAGTTCGAGACCAGCCTGGCCAACATGGTGAAACCCTGTCTGTACTAAAAATACAACAATTAGCTGGGTGTGCTGGTAGGATCCTGTAATCCCAGCTACTGGGGAGGCTGAGGCAGAATTGCTTGAACCCAGGAGGTGAAGGTTGCAGTGAGCCGAGATCGCACCATTGCACTCTAGCCTGGGTGAAAAGAGCAAGCCTCTGTCTTAAAAAAATGAAGAAGAGGAAGAAGAAACAGCCAGATGTGGTGGCTCACTCCTGTAAAGGTGGAGAAGGGAGGAGGAGGATGAAACAGCTGGGCATGGTGGCTTACGCCTGTAAAGGAGGAAGAGGAGGAAGAAACAGCCAGGAGCAGTGGCTCACCTTTAAATGAGGAAGAGGAGGAGGAGGAAAAGAAAGAACCTTGTGAGGTGACTCATGCTTGTGGAGGAGGAAACACCCAGCTGCGATGACTCATACCTGTAAAGGAAGAGGAGGAAACAGCCAGGCGTGGTGGCTCATGACTGTGAAAGAGGAGGAGGAGGAGGAAACAGCCAGGCGACCTGGCTCATGCTTGTAGAGGAGGAGGAGGAAACACCCATGTGTAATGGCTGACACCTGTTGAGGAGGAAGAAACAGCCAGGCGAGGTGACTCACATGCCTGTAGAGGAGGAGGAGGAAACAGCCAGGCGAGGTGGCTCACACCTGTAAAGGAGGAAGAGGAGGAGAAAGAAATAGCCAGGCAGTGGCTCCTGCATTTAAATGCCCAGGAGGAGGAAAAGAACCAGTCGAGGTGGTTCAGTCAAATGCGCATTTGTCTCAGATGAGCAGAGGAATGACTTAGAGTTCAGTAAAGTTTTCGGGGCTCACAAGGAATTTCCTAGCAGGCAAATTTGGTAAGAGGTATGTAGTGTTTTGTTTTTGTTTTTTCTTTTTTTTTTTTTTTTTTTTTTTGAGACAGCCTAACTCTGTGAACCAGGCTGGAGTGCAGTGGCGATCTCAGCTCACTGCAACCTCCTCCTTCCCGAGTTCAGAGTGATTCTCCTGCCTCAGCCTCGAGTAACTAGGATTACAGGCACGTGCACACCATGCCCAGTTAATTTTTTACATTTTCAGTAGAGACAGGTGTATCACCAGGTTGGCCAACCTGGTCTCAGCTCCTGACTTGGGTGATTCGCCCACCTCAGCCTCCAAAGTGCTGGGATTACAGGTGTGAGCCACTGCATTTGGCCTCTCCTGTATCTTCATATGCCTGCAACCCCAAGAAGAGGGCTCTGGTTCCTTGGATTAGAGTCCGGGCCCCAGAGGCCCAGGGTCAAGGCTATGGCACCATCCAGACAGTGCCCCCTGCAGAGTGGCTTGCATCTGGCCAGGCATGGATGCTACAGGCTGAGGCCTGCTCGAATTCCTGTGAAGGCAAGAGAAGGTATCACTTGAGAAAGGGAGTCCACTGATCTCAAGTTCTTTCCTGGCCTGCAGCGTCTTGATCGGAGGGTTCTGGGTGGGAGCCGACCTTGCCCTTCTTGGCTGAGTTGAAGGTTCAAACCACCAAAGGCTCAGCCTCTGGGTTACAGCTACCCAATTCACTGACAGCACCCCGGGCCCGCCTGCCTGCAGGCCATGCATGTCCTCAGCTAAAGATGGCTCGGGCGGCCCTAGGCGCCTAACGCAGCCAACTCGCTGGGCCCCTCCCATACTGCTCTTAGCCCGCTGCTCTTAGCCCCATAGGCGAGTAGCTAGCCGTGGGCGAAGTGTGACCAGGTGGACAGGGTGGCCTGGGCCATCTAGCCACTGTTGTATGGCTGCGCTTTGGTGCTGCAGGGCGGGATGCTGTATCCCTGGGAGAGCCTGTTGCGGGAGCGCAAGGAGATGGGTGGCCTCTGGAGCTTCTGCTCCGACTTGGACAACCGAAGAGGGGCGATAAGGCAGTGGTACCCTGGCAGCTGCAGGAGTGAGGAGCCTGCCGAGGTCGCCGTTGACTACCTACCCTGCCTTAAGATGTAGTTTACTGTAGCCCCAAACTCCTGGCTCAAGCAATCCTTCCACTTCAGCCTCCCAAGTGTGCTGGGCTGCTGGGGCTGCAGATACACCACCACACTTGGCTCATTTTTTGTATTTTTAGGGAAGAAGTGGTTTCCCTATGTTACCCAGGCTGGTCTTGAACTCCTGGGCTCAAGCGATCTTCCACCTCAGCCTCCCCAAGTATTTGAGATTACAAGTGTAACCACTGTACCTGGCCAAAAATCTTTTTTCAATTAAAAAACACAGCACTGGAACCCAGCTGGCAAAGCGCCTGTAATCCCAGCACTTTGGGAAGCAATCGAAGTGGTTGTATGTGGGGTGGAGTGCATTTTACGGCTGGTTTTGGTGAGAATCAAGTCAAGTACAACTGTCCTGATGTAGGGGGACCAGACCTTCTGCGATGGTGAGTGATAGCATCCCCAAAAGTTAAAAATGCCAGATGCATGACAATGCTCCGTGACTAGTTAATAGGGTGATAGTCACTGGTCATTGAGGTGTCTTATTTAGGGGGCATGTGGCGATCTTGGGTTTTATGACCTGAGGTAAGAACCAGATGCCAGGTATAGTTTCCAGTACATAGTCACCCACAAGTATTCTGGGCCCCGGAGCAAGGAGGGTAACACGCCAGTGGGATGATGATTTCTCAGAGGTTAGTGATTAAGTTCAAAATTCGGTAGGAGATATCCGTGTTGGCGAGTGGTTTGACTGAAATGTGCTATGTCAATGAACAAATGAATGTACTATGTAATACTAGAATTTTGATTCCAGTCGATATCCATGTAGAACTAGTTCTACACATATGTAAGTAGTATTATGTATGATAGTTAAGAAATTGCTGAACACTAGCTTATATGCATGTAGACAAACATGACCTCATCTAATCTGTGAATGTACATGCACAATCAAGCATTGGCAGTACTATATATATTCATGGGGACTATACAGTAATGCACAAAGTACATAGAAGTATTAATGTATTAGTGCTGATGGTCAGTACTTACATAGAAATTAAAATGCGTGCTGAAAAGAATACAGAGAATAGTTTAATTAGAATCTCAGCTTTAGGTGGTGATGGTGAAGCAGAGATGCTTTCTCTGAGTTGCCCTAGGAGGACTCTCCATTTCCGGTTTACAAGACTGAAGCGTATTAGTTATACTACATGGGCAGTTTCATTTCGTAATTTATTCATGATTAGGGCAGTGAGTGGTATAAGAACAAGAATAATAGAGAAATATCTCATAGATGCTGTCTGTCGATGGTAATGAAAGGATGTTCTTAGCTGTCCTCCGATCCATGAGTGTGAGTAGAGTCAGTATTTAAGATTCAGAACAGATAATAGGCGGAATATTATGCTTTGTTGTTGGATGTGTGGAGTGCAGGAATAACTGCTGAGAAGGAGAGTGGGTCAATAGAAGGCTGATACCTCCTAGTTTGTGGGGATGGACCATAAGAGTGCATATGCAAATAAAAAGTGTCACTCTGGTTTAATGTGGGGCAGGATATTTGGGAGTTGACTAAGGTGTAATTGTCTGTGTCACTCAGGAAGTCAGAGGCGAGAAGCGATACTAGAATTATTAGAAGGAGGAGGAGAAAAATTAAACCTAGAATAGCTTTGGTTGTATATTAAGGAGTGGAAGGTGATTTTGTTGGAATGTATTCGTTTCTAGACAGCGGTTTATAAGACCCTGTTTCATGTAGAAATAAAAGGTGGAGAATTGTTAGGGCTATGATGATGAAAGGTAAGATGAAATGGAAGGTGAAGAATTGTGTAAGAGGGGCTTTGGCAACTGAAAATCCACCTCTGATTCATTGGACAAGGTCAGTTCCAGTATATGGGATGGCTGATAGGTTTGTGATTCCTGTAGCGCCTCAGAATGATATTTGGCCTCATGGAAGCACATAGCCTATAAATGCTGTTGCTGTGGTTGTGGTAGGAGGATAATGCCAATGTTCTAGTTTCTAAATATGAATAACCGCAGTATAAGCCTCCACCAGCGTGGAAGAGGCAGGCGAAGAATGTTGAAGAGCAGGTGGGTAGCGAAATGGCGGACTCTTAAGCGTGAATCCACATCTTGGTTTAATATGGGCAACAGAAGAGAAAGCAGGGTGAGGTATCGGGTGTGTAGTGTACTTGGCCCAGAAATAACGCTGTGATGATCTGGAGGATTAAGCAGGTACCAGAAGTGAGCCGAAGTTTCATCATATGAGATATTGGATGGGTGGGGAGATCCATGAATGAGTAATTAATGATTTTTATTAGTGGGCTTGTTTTACATATAATAGTCATTGAGTATTCTTATAGTTGAAGTACAGTGATGGCTTTTCCCTTATCCAGAGTCCAATGCCTATAATCCATGGGATAGTGACATAGGCTTTTTCTTACTAAGTGTTCTTTTGTTGTAGGATTCGTGGTTTTCTAAACCTTCTCCTATTTATGGGGGCTTAGGGTTCATTCTTAGTGCTGCTGTAGGTTGTGTTATTGTGTTGAGCCATGGTGGGGCTTTTATGGGATTAATAGTCTTTTGAGGATTTATTTGGGGGATGATGGTTGTTTTTGGTTATACTGTGCGATGGCTGTTGAGATACCGTGAGTAATGAGGATCAAGTATTGAAGTTTTAGAAACTTTATTATTGGGGCTACTAATAGAGTTAGTGTTACTTTGATGAATGGTAAGGTATGGATGATAAATTGTAGTGATCATAGTTAATTTTTATTAGTGTGGGAAGTTGAATCATCTTTAGAGGAGTGAGGGCCCAGGGCGATTCATGAGGATTCTGGGGGTGCGAGGTGCTTATATAGTTATGGATGTTGATTGGTGGTAGTTGCTGGTTGAACATTGTTTGTTAGTATTTATGTTGCAATTGAAATTTATCAGGGTAATAGATAATTAAGAGTAAAGTTAGAAAGGATGGAATAAAAAAAAGAAATAAAGTATTAGGCCTCTTTGAGTGAACATAGTAATGGAGGCTGTGATTTGGGTCTGTAAGTGTCTTTGTAGTATGGACTTTTCTAGTCAAATTAGGTCTGTAAGAGTGCAGCAGGTTTTGGCTTGTGATAGGTTTGAGTGAGGGTTGTGTGTTGAGAACTGTGATTAGTGGGAATCCTAATATATTGGAGAAGCTGAATGTTTGTAATGGATATTTTATCTTAAGATTATTAGTTATAAAACTAAGTTCCATTGCCAGTAAGAGTCCTAGGATAGTTATCTCTTGGGCTGTGAGTTTTGGGGAAATTAGTATTGTTGTTTGGGGGGATGAAGTAGGGATAATGCTCTTGTGATGAGAAAACCAGTGAAGATACTGGCGACTGTAAGGCATTTAATTGGGTTTATTAGGAAGAGTTATTTTCATCAGTGCTGATTAGGGTTGGAAATGTGGGTTCCTATTAGGAGCAGAAAATAATTTGGATACTATAGACACTTGTTAGGGAGGCGGCAATAAGGTAGTAGAGAGGGCTCAGGCATTGGTGTGCTAGTGTGTTTGCGGTTTTCGATAATGAGATCTTTTAGAGTAAAATCCTCTGTGAGAAGAGCATGCCTGTAGTGCCAGGCTGCTGCCAATAATAAGGAGGAGGAAGTAAGGGGGTGATCTTGAAAATAGTCCTCCTATTTTTGTGGATATCTTGTTCATCATTGAGGTTATGGATGATGGATCCTGAACATATAAATAATATAGGTTTAAAAGGCGTAGGTGCAGATGTGTAGGAATGCCAGGTGTGGTTGATTCATGCAGTTGTAACTATTATAAAGACTAGTTGACTTGAGGCAGTATATGATTTTTGTTGACACCATTTTTGTATTAGAGCACAATTCATAAATAAGGTGGTAATGAGTCCCTAAACACAGGTTTTTTTTTTTTTTTAATTTATTTATTATTATTAAACTTCAAGTTGTAGGGTACATGTGCACAACGTGCAGGTTTGCTACATATGTATACTTGTGCCATGTTGGTGTGCTGCACCCATCAACTCGTCATTTACATCAGATATAACTCCCAATGCAATCCCTCCCCCCTCCCCCCTCCCCATGATAGGCCCCGGTGTGTGATGTTCCCCTTCCCGAGTCCAAGTGATCTCATTGTTCAGTTCCCACCTACGAGTGAGAACATGCGGTGTTTGGTTTTCTGTTCTTGTGATAGTTTGCTAAGAATGATGGTTTCCAGCTGCATCCATGTCCCTACAAAGGACACAAACTCATCCTTTTTTATGGCTGCATAGTATTCCATGGTGTATATGTGGGAACAACTAACTGCGGCGAGATGAGGCTCGGAGTGCAGTGGCATGATCTCAGCTGCAACCTCCTCGAGGTTCAAGGCAATTCTCTCAACTCCCGAGTAACTAGGATGTTACAGAGCACTTACCATGCCCAGTTAATTTTTACATTTTCAGTAGAACAGGTGTATCACCAGGTTGGCTAACACAGAACAGCCTCTGACATCAGGTGATCCACCCCACCTCAGCCTCTCAAGTGGCGAGCCACTGCATTTGGCCCCTCTCCCCTGTATCTTCACTTATGCCTGCCTGCAACCCAAGAGAGAGCTCCTGGCTCCTTGGTTGAGGTCCGGGCCCCAGAGGCCCAGGTCAAGGCTGGCACCTCCAAGAGCATTCTTCTCTTTAGTGGCTGCATCGACGAGCATGGATGCTACAGGCTGGGCCTTGGTCCTGCTGTGGAAGGCAAGAGAAGGTGCTCCTCTGATGAGCGAGATCACTGATCTCCGGAGTTCTGTCCTGGCAGCCCCAGCCCGTCTTCGTCCAGCGGGTTCAGGGTGGGGGAGCCGACCTTGCCCTTGGCTGGGGTTGAGGGTACCCAAAGGCACTTAGCCTGGGGTTACAGCTGCAGTTCCCACTGGGCACGGGCCCGCCCCTGCCTGCCTGGCACTTGTCCTCAGCAAAGAATGCTTGGAGCGGCCTAGGCGCCCTAACAACCCTTCGCTGAGCTCCTCCCTTGCTGCTCTTAGCCCCACTTAGATGGCGGCTTCTTTGTGAGTGGAAAGTGTGACCGGTGGACAGGGTAGCTGGGCGCGTCTGGGCCACTTGTATGGCTGCACTGTTGTATGGCTGCACTTTGAAAAAGCAAGGCAGCAGGATGCTATACCACCACCATGCCCAGTTAATTTTTTACATTTTCAGTAGAGACAGGTGTATCACCAGGTTGGCTAACCTGGTCTCCAACTCCTGACATCAGGTGATCCACCCACCTCAGCCTCTCAAAGTGGGATGAGCCACTGCATTTGGCCCCTCTCCCTGTATCTTCATATGCCTGCAACCCCAAGAGAGGGCTCCTGGCTCCTTGGTTAGGGTCCGGGCCCCAGAGGCCCAGGGTCAAGGCTATGGCACCATCCCAAGAACATTCTTCTCTTCAAGTGGCTGCATCTGACAGGCATGGATGCTACAGGCTGGGGCCTGCTTGAATTCCTGCTGTGGAAGGCAAGAGAAGGTGCTCCTTGATGAACGAGAGATCCCACTGATCTCAGGAGTTCTGTCCTGGCCTGCAGCCCGTCTTCGTCCAGAGGGTTCTGGGTGGGGAGCCGACCTTGCCCTTCTTGGCTGGGGTTGAGGGTTCCGCTTACCCAAAGGCATAGCCTGGGGTTACAGCTGCAGTTCCCACTGGGCAGCACCGGGCCCCGCCCTGCCCCTGCAGGCCTGGCACTTGTCCTCAGCAAAGATGGCTTGGACGGCCCTAGGCGCCTAACGCAACCCTTCCGCTGGGCTCCTCCCGTGCTGCTCTTAGCCCCATAGATGGCGGCCTAGCTGTGGAGTGGAAAGTGTGACCCGGTGGACAGGGTGGCCTGGGCGGCGCTCTGGCCACTGTTGTATGGCTGCACTGTTGTATGGCTGCGCTTTGGCGCTGCAGGGCAGGATGCTGTACCCCTGGGAGAGCCTGTTGCAGGAGCGCAAGGAGCTGGGTGGCCTCTGGAGCTTCTGCTCCGACTTGGACAACTGAAGCGGGGCATTAATGAGCAGTGGTACCCCTGGCAGCTGCAGGAGGTGAGGACTCCGGGCAGGGCCGGGAGGCACTTCGTTGACTACCTACCCTGCCTTAAGATGTAGTTTACTGTAGCCCCAAACTCCTGGCTCAAGCAATCCTTCCACTTCAGCCTCCCAAGTAGCTGGGGCTGCTGGGGCTGCAGGCACGCACCACCACACTTGGCTCATTTTTTGTATTTTTAGGGAAGAAGTGGTTTCCCTATGTTACCCAGGCTGGTCTTGAACTCCTGGGCTCAAGCGATCCTTCCACCTCAGCCTCCCCAAGTGTTGGGATTACAGGTGTGACCACTGTGCCTGGCCAAAAAAATCTTTTTTTCAATTAAAAAAAAGCACTGGACATGGCGGCTAACGCCTGTAATCCCAGCACTTTGGGAGGCCGAGTCAAGTGGATTACCTGAGGAGTAGGTACGACTTCTACAACTGGTTTGGTGGAAATCAAATCCAAGTACAACTACAGCCGATGGCAAGGGGACCAGACCTTCTGCGATGGTGAGTGATAGCATCCCCAAAAGTTAAAAATGCCAGATGCATGACAATGCTCCCGTGACTGGTTAATAGGGTGATAGTCACTAGTCCATTGAGGTGTCTTATTTAAGGGGAACATGTGGGCGATCTTAGTTTTATGACCCTGAGGTAAGAACCAGATGCCAGGTATAGTTTCAGTATAGTCACCCGCAAGTATTCCGGGCCCGGAGCAAGGAGGGTAACACGCCCGAGTGGGATGATGATTTCTCAGAGGTTGGTAGATTAAGAGACCAAAATTCGGTAGGAGATATCCGTGTTGGCGAGGGTGGTTTTGACTGAAATGTGCTATGTCCAATGAACAAATGAATGTACTATGTAATACTAAGAATTTTGAGTTCCGGTCGATATCCATGTAGAACTAGTTCTATATGTAAGTGTAGTATTATGTATGATAGTTAAGAAATTGTGAACACTCGCTTATATGCATGTGGAGCAAGCTTGTAATGTCATCTAATCTGTGAATGTACTGTGCACAATCAAGCATTGGCAGTACTATATATTCATGGGGACTAGCAGTAATGCACAAAGTACATAAAAGTATTAATGTATTAGTGCTGATGGTCAGTACTTACATAGAAATTAAAATGCGTGCTGAAAAGAATATAGAGAATAGTTTAATTAGAATCTCAGCTTTGGGTGTTGATGGTGAAGCGGGAATGCTTTTTCTCTGAGTTGCCCTGGGGAGGGACTCTCCATTTCTGGTTTACAAGACTGGCGTATGGGATTATACTACATGGGCAGTTTCATTTAAGTAGTTTATTCTCGATTAGGGCAGTGAGTGGTATGAGAACAAGAATAATAGAGAAATATCTCATAGATGCTGTCTGTCCGATGGTAATGAAAGGATGTTCTTGGCTGTCCTCCGATCCATGTGAGTGTGAGTAGGTCGGTGACTGAGATTCAGAACAGATATTGCCTTAATGGGCGGAATATTATGTTTTGTTGTTTGGATGTGTGGAGTGCAGGAATAACTGCTAGAAGGAGAGTGGATAATAGAAGGGCCAGTACACCTCCTAGTTTATTGGGGATGGACCATAAGATTGCATATGCAAATAAAAAGTGTCACTCTGGTTTAATGTGGGGCAGGGTATTTAGGGGGTTGACTAAGGTGTAATTATCTGTGTCACTCAGGAAGTCAGGCGAGAAACAATACTAGAATTATTAAAAGGAGGAGGAGAAAAATTAAACCTAGAATAGCTTTGGTTGTATAGTAAGGGTGGAAGGTGATTTTGTTGGAATGTGATGGAATTTCTGAAGGGTTATTAGACCCTGTTTCATGTAGAAATAAAAGGTGGAGAATTGTTAGGGCTATGATGATGAAAGGTAAGATGAAATGGAAGGTGAAGAATTGTGTAAGAGGGGCTTTGGCAACTGAAAATCCACCTCTGATTCATTGGACAAGGTCAGTTCCAGTATATGGGATGGCTGATAGGTTTGTGATTCCTGTAGCGCCTCAGAATGATATTTGGCCTCATGGAAGCACATAGCCTATAAATGCTGTTGCTGTGGTTGTGAGAAGGAGGATAATGCCAATATTTCTGGTTTCTAAATATATGAATAACCCATAATATAAGCCTCCACCAACGTGTAGGAAGAGGCAGACGAAGAATGTTGAAGAGCCGTTAGTGTGAAAATAGCGGACTCTTCAGCCGTAGTCCACATCTTGGTTAATATGGGCAACAGAAGAGAAAGCAATTGAGGTATCGGGTGTGTAGTGTATGGCCAGAAATAACGCTGTGATGATCTGGAGGATTAAGCAGGTACCAAGAAGTGAGCCGAAGTTTCATCATATAGAGATATTAGATGGTGTGGGGAGATCAACGAATGAGTAATTAATGATTTTTATTAGTGGGCTTGTTTTACATATAATAGTCATTAGTGTTCTTATAGTTGAAGTACAGTGATGGCTTTTCATATCAGTCATGGCTATAACCCATGTGGGATAGTGACATAGGCTTTTTTCTTACTAAGTGTTCTTTTGTTATGGGATTCGTGGTTTTTTTCTAAACCTTCTCCTATTTATGGGGGCTTAGGGTTCATTCTTAGTGCTGCTGTAGGTTGTGTTATTGTGTTGAGCCATGGTGGGGCTTTTATGGGATTAATAGTCTTTTTGATTTATTTGGGGGGGATGATGGTTGTTTTTGGTTATACTGTGGCGATGGCTATTGAGGAATACCCTGAGTAATGAGGATCAAGTATTGAAGTTTTAGAAACTTTATTATTGGGGCTACTAATAGAGTTGGTGTTACTTTGATGAATAGTGAGTATGATGGGGTGGTGATCATAGTTAATTTTATTAGTGTGGGAAGTTGAATCATCTTTGAGGGTGAGGGCCCAGGGCTGATTCATGAGGATTCTGCGGGTGCGGGTGCTTTATATAATTATGGATGTTGATTGGTGGTAGTTGCTGGTTGAACATTGTTTGTTAGTATTTATGTTGCAATTGAAATTGCTCAGGGTAATAGATAATTAAGAGTAAAGTTAGAAAGGATGGAATAAAAAAAGAGAGGAAATAAAATGTAATTAGGCCTCTTTGAGTAGTTATGGTAATGGAGGCTGTGATTTGGGTCTGTGAAATTGTCTTTGGTATGGACTTTTCTAGTCAAATTAGGTCTAGCAGAAGTGCTGGCAGGTTTTGGCTTGTAGATAGGTTTGAGTGAGGGGTTGTGTGTTGAACTGTGATTGAGTAGAATCCTAATATATTGGAGAAGCTGAATGTTTGTAATGGATATTTTATCTTAAGATTATTAGTTATAAAACTAAGTTCCATTGCCAGTAAGAGTCCTAGGATGGTTATCTCTTGGGCTGTGAGTTTTAGGGGAGGTGGTATTGTTGTTTGGGGGGGATGAAGTAGGGATAATGCTCTTGTGATGAGAAAACCAGTGAAGATACTGGCGACTGTAAGGCATTTAATTGGGTTTATTAGGGAAGAGTTATTTTCATCAATGCTGATTAGGGTTGGGAAATGGGGTTGTCCTATTGGAGCAAGGAAAATAATTTGGATACTATAGACACTTGTTAGGGAGGCGGCAATAAGAGTAGTAGAGAGGGCTCAGGCATTGGTATATGATGTGTTTGCGGTTTCGATAATGAGATCTTTAGAGTAAAATCCTGTGAGGAAAGGCATACCTGTAAGTGCCAGGCTGCCAATAATAAGGGAGGAGGAAGTAAGGGGTAAAGTCTTAAATAGTCCTCCTATTTTTCGGATATCTTGTTCATCATTGAGGTTATGGATGATGGATCCTGAACATATAAATAATATAGGTTTAAAAAAGGCGTGGGTGCAGATGTGTAGGAATGCCAGGTGTGGTTGATTCATGCCAGTTGTAACTATTATAAGGACTAGTTGACTTGAGGTGGGGAATGCTATGATTTTGTTGACACCATTTTGTGTTAGAGCACAAATTGCTATAAATAAGGTGGTAATAGTCCCTAAACACAGGGTAAGGGTTTGGATTACTATACTATTTTCTATTAAGGGGTAGAAGCGGATAAGCAGGAAAACTCCTGCTACAGCTATAGTGCTACAGTGGAGTAGGGCTGAGACTGGGGTTGGGCCTTCCATGGTCAAAGGAAGTCAGGGGTGGAGGCCAAATTGAGCCGATTTTCCTGCTGCTGCTAAGAGAAGGCCAATTAATGGAAGAAGATCGGGGGTAGGATTTAGGATAAATGCTTGTTGAGGTTCTCATATATTGGAGGATGAGAGGAATCATGCTATAGCTAAAATGAAGCCAATATCGCCAATGCGGTTATGCAGAATCGCTTGGAGGGCTGCTGTATTAGCATCTGCTCAGCTCTGTCATCAGCCAATTAGTAAAAAAGACTAATTCCTATGCCTTCTCATCCAATAAAAAGTTGAAAAAGATTGTTGGCGATAACTAGGATTAATATTTTGGTGAGGAAAATAAGTAAATATTTGAAAAATTGATGTTAGGATCTGATTTTATTTATCAAATATTGAGAATTCTCTAATAGATCAGATGACAAATAGTGCTACTGAGATAAATATTATGGAGAAGTAATCTAGTTTGAAGCTTAATGAGAGTTTAAGGGTTTGGATTGTTACTGGATGTCAGTTTGAGATGATGGCTTCTGGGTCTATATACACAAACATTGTGGGAATGAGGCTAATGGTGAAGGTGCATGAGCTAGATATTTTCACGTAATATGGGTACAAGTTCTTGTGAGGGTTGATTAAGATAGTAATAATTGGTAAGGTTAAGGAGATTAAGGTTATAGTAATGGAAAAATACATGATTATTACTTTTATTTGGAGTTGCACTAGTATTTTTGGTTCCTAAGACCAGTGGATAGCTCTTATCCTCTAAAACTTGAGAATGCCATGTTGTTAGGCATGGGGCCAGGAGTTAGCAGTTCTTGCATAATTTCTCAGTAAATAAGAAGTTGCAGACTTCTATCAGTAGACCCACAATCTAATGTTTTGATTAAAGTATCTTTACAGTGTATAAAACCTATAATAATCTTAAGGTTTAGGGATAATAGAATAGGTGCAAGGTGTGTAAGTATTAGTATATTTTCTCATGTAAAGGAAGTTTAATACTGTTAATGTAATATGTAAGTGTTCCTTGTTGTGTTGTGATAAGCATGTGTAGGGAATAAAGGGCTGTGATTAATATATTAAGTCCTATCAACATAATGGTGATGTTTGATCAGGAGAATGAAGCCACTATTACAAAGAGTTCTCCTGTTAGATTAATGTTAGGGCCTAAGGCAAAGTCAGTAAGATTTGCTACAAGTCATCAAATTGTAGCAATTTGTGGGAGTTATGTGGGAGCGATTAGTGGGAGTAGTGTTTGAAGCCCTTGAGAGAGTAATATGATTCAGCTATGGATTCACTTGTAGTTTGAATTTGCTAGGCAGAATAGTAAGGACAAAGTAAGTCCATTGGCAATTATAGGGTAATTGCACCGGTAAAGCTTCAGGGAGTTTGAATGAGAATAACCATAATAACAAGTGCTACATGGCTTATGGAGGAATATGCAATAAGTGATTTTAGATCAGTTTGTCATAGACAAATAGAGCTTATCATAACTATACCTCATAAGGATAACATGAGGAAGGAGTAGGCTGTATATTCTGTTGGGTGCTGAGGATAAGGGTAAGCCTATTATGCCATAGCTGCCTAGTTTTAGGAGAACCGCTACAAGTACTATTGTGCTGGCAATAGGAACTTCTGCGTGGGCTTTAGGAAGTCATGGGTGAAGTTCATATAGGGATATTTTTACTATACAACCCATAATACATGCTAATCATGTAAGGTTATTGGATCAGGAAATTAATAGTTCTTGGGTATTAAATATTATTATCATGTTCAGTAAACTGAGGGCATTTTGAGTATAAATAAGTATAATAAGTAGGGGGAGAGATCCCACTAGTGTATAAAATAAGAAATATGAACTTGCATTGAGGCATTCTGGTTGGTTACCCCAGAGGATGATAATAATTAAGGTAGGGATAAGTGTAGCTTCAAAGAGAATATAAAATATAATTAGTTGTCTGGCTGTGAATGCCATAATTTTAAAAAATTGTAGGGAAATCAATAAGGAAATATAGAGCTTTTTCCATGGGGGTGACTCATTGGAGAGGTGGTACTGGCTTGCTATAATTATAAGAGGTAGTAGTCAACCTGTTAAGATTAGAAGGGGTGATGTCAGCGATCAGAAGAGAAGGTTAATGAGAAGTTGAATAGATTGTCATTGAATTGATTAAAAAATAATAGGGCAATGAAGCTGATGATTAGGCTGTGAATAGTCTTATTGATTCAGATTGTAGAGTTTTTAGAGAGTCATGTTATTGGTAGCAGTATAATTGTTGGAATAATAATTTTTAGCATTGAAGTAAATTTAGGTTATGTACATAGTCTAGGCCATACGTGTTGGAGATTGAAACTGGTAAGGCAAAGCCCACTGCGGCTTCACAGGCAAGCAAATACTAGGAGGGTAATAGGTATTATGAGTGCTAGGGTGAAATGGATATTTAAGGTTATAAGGGTATTTATGATGAATAATCATAATATTATTCCTTCTAAGTGTAATCTCATAATCTAATGAGTTGAAATCATTTATTTTGGCTTAAACTATCTACCAATTCAGTTCAATCTAATACTTTTTGAGCTCATTCATAAGTTAACCCTAGGACTAAAATGATGACTAGTATAAGGGCTGTGCTGATTATTAGTGTCAGGTTTCTTGTTTGAAGGGCTCATGGCAAGAGTAGTAGTAGGGCAATTTCTAAGTCAAATAGGAGGAATGTGATGGCTAGTAGAAAAAATTTTATGGAGAAAGGAATGCGGGTGGGTCAAATCTACATTCGTAGGGGCTGGATTTTCTATATAAATATTAAATTGTGGGAGCCAAAATGTAATAACTGTTAGTGATAGGGCTGATAGGGTGTTGATTACTAGGGCTAGTATTAGGTTAATTACTCTTTTTCAGATGTCAAAACTAATTGATTGGAAGTCAATGGTACTGTTTATATTAAAAGAGTAAGATCCTCATCAGTAAATAGAAATATACAAGAATAGTGAAAAATCTCATCGAAAATAACACGAATAGTCATACTACATCTTACAGAGTGTCAATATCAGGCAGTGGCTTGAAAGCCAGCGTGATGGGTAGATCTTTCAAGAGTGGTATTTTAATTAGCAGAGGGAGACAGATGGTGAGGAATCAGTGATCCAATAATAGCCAAGCATGAAGTCGTGAAAGCTTGTAGCTATAAAAAAAAGAATGTTAAAGCATATTCATCAGAAATAGCAAGAGAGCCTCAAGTATTTCACAGGGCTGCCAGGAGGGTGAAGTAAATACCTAGTGGTGGCTGACAAGTAGTGCTTGAATTATTTGTTTTCAATTATTTTCTGTTAGGCATTGATGGGCTCAAGTAATTGAAACCCCTGATGCAAGTAATACAGATGTATTCAGGAGGGGTACTTCCAGAGGGCCGAGGGGAGAAATGCCTGTTGGGGGTCAGTGTCCTTCTGGTTCTGGAGTAGGGCTAGACTAGATGGTAGGAGAATGCCCAGAAGAACCCAACAAAGAACAGTAGCTTCTGAGATAACAAATAGGACTATTCCATATGAAGGCCTTTTAAACAGTATCGTATGGTGACCTTGAAATGTACTTTCTCAGATAATGTCACATCACCATTGATATATAGTCGTGTAATATGTGTATTGGTTATTGACCTAAGGGTTAAAAGAAGTAATAGAGTTAAAAGTGAAATCATAGCTAGGCTGGATCTTCTTGGAGAGCTGAGAAGAGCCCTGTTAGGCCAAGTACTGGGTTTGATTAAATAGTAGGTGTGTGTGTTTAGTGGTCATTATATAGCTTTGTCATATAAATAAAGGCTTACTAATAGCATAAAGACCAAAAGCTTGGATAAAGGGCCACGGTGAGAGACAGAATTAAGAATAATAAGGGTGACTGAAGCTGTGGGAAGGTTAATAGTTGATACTGGTGCAGCTCCTCCAATTAAGTGTTATGTGTGACATGGCTGTAATGTTGGCTGTTAAAACGTGCAGCTAGTGCCATTGAGGTTATCAAGTAGACTAATGGTTTCATTGATTACTAGTATGAAGATAAGTGGTCTGGGTGGCCTGGTGAGCAGAAGTAGGCTAAGGAGTTTTTAGCTTTAAGTAAGAAGCCTGTGATTACTGTGTGCCTGCTCTTAAGGGGATTGCTATACCTAGGTTTATTGATAGTTGGGTAGTTGGTGTAAATGAGTGGGGGTAGAAGCCCCAGGAGATTGATTAAGGCAATAAGAGAATTAAGGATATTAGTATAAGAGTCAAGGTTCGTCCTTTAATATTATGTGTATTATTATTTGTTTAGAGCAAGTTGAACTAGTCATTCTTGAATAGAAATCAATTTGGATTATTGATTGGAGTAGTTGGAGGTTGGAAGGGTGTGGTGGCTCAAGATGATTAGTGCTGCTGTGTGGCAAACCTAGGATTATCAGGGCAGTAAATGAGGTGTGAACAAATTTTCATTCATTTTAGTTCTACTCCAAGCATTGCTATTTTTGCGTTTTAATTGTTTTTTGGTGTAAAAAGGGTGTATGGCAAATAGACTTTGATAGTTTTGATGAATATTAGAAGTTATGATTGTTGATATAATAATAATGAGTCATGTGGAAGAAATTACCTAGTTGAGGCATTCACTGTAAGTGTGATTTCTGTCGGCCTTTAACTGAAAAGGTTAAGCATGAATGGCACACAGTGGGAATTATAAATGTGTGGATATAGACCGTGTTTTTGAGGGCATTTCCCAATGGGACTAATTCTAGAATAACAGGTATAAAAACTGTGGTTAGATCCACAAATTTCTGGGCATTGTCCATAGTAGAGGCCTGAAAGGTGGGCATAGCGGTTAAGGCAAATTGGTTTAAGTGTCCAGGTATTGCATCTTAGCACAGACTGTGGGGGTAGTTCATGGGTGCAGGACATCTTCGGAGAGATTAACATCTCTGCAGGATCGAATTTCTATTGAGAGGATTGTTTGGTTATTGAATTCGAGGAGTTGAAGTTCATCTGTGGTTTTAAGTTAGCTCAATGAAGTATAAAGGTGAAAGCTTAATTCTTCATAATCAATATATGCTTATACTTCAATACCATTGATGTCCAATTGTTTTAACAGTGAGAGGAGGGTTATTGTTTGCATCTGTTATATACAGGCGGATGTGTGGGATGGGAGGGCAATTAAAGATTAAGATGATAGCGAGCAAGATAGTTCAGACAGTCTCTATTTCTTAGGCATCTGTGGTGCTGAATCAATTTTGTTGTGAGTATTAGAGAAATAATCATAGAACCAGGGGAGCTAATTGGAAAATAGTATAAGAGTGCTGATCATGAAAGGTAAGTAGTTCTTCTGTAATAGAGGAATGAAGCGTCTTGAAGACCTAATTGAATTGGATGAGCCATTAAGATACATAGGAGCAACCTATAATAACTTTGACAAAGTTATGATAACTTACTAATATGCGATTATTGAAAATCATAGAGGTTGTGGGATTGGCTTGAAACAGTCTGTGGAGGTTCAGTTCCTTCCTTTTTCGCTCAGGTCTTCATGTAGGTTGGTTGTTCAAATGCTTATATTTTTGGAAAACCTGATAGGAGATAAAGTAGGTTCCCAGTAGATTACCCATTTTATTATGATGTAATATCCTTTTTTGTCTCGTGTGTTTTGACTTTATATATTATAAAATATGACAGCTTTTGACTTAATATAATTCTCCCCCTCTCATTTAGTTGTATTTGCATGGAATGTCTTTTTCCATCCTGCCACTTTCAGTCTATTTTCATCATTAGATCTGGTGAGTCTCTTGGGACATGACACTTAGGTGGATTTTGTTTTCTAAATTAAAAAAAAAAAATCCCTTTATGTAATATTTGCCTTTGATTGGGAAGTTTAGTCCATGCATATTTTAATACTTTTCTGAAAGGAAATGACTTACAATTACCATTTTATTGTTTTATTTGACTCTTGTACCTATTTTGTCCCTATTCACTTTGTATTCCTTTGTGTCTTATTTGATATTTGTAGTGACATGCTTTGTTCTTTTATTTTCTGTTGTGTAGCTGCATTTTCTTTATGGTTCCCATGTAAGTACACTTAAAAATCTCTTAAAGTTACAACTGTATATTTTAAACTGGTAACAACTTGCCCTCAGTTGCATACAAAATGCTTGCTCATTACATCTGCCCTTAACTTTATAATGTCACTAAGTATATCATATTTAATGGAGTGTTTTAATTTTCGTGATGTCTTTCAAATTTTAAAAGCAATTGTTTTCTGCCTAATTATCATAATACACAAAGAGTTTTACTTTTTGTATGCGTGCATATCTTTCCCAGAGAGTGGGTGTATTTTTTTATATGATTTGGTTTGTTTTCTATTATTTTAAATTTTGAATGGGAAAGACTTCTTTTTGCATTTCTTGTAGGACAGTTATATTGCTGATGTACTTTCTCAGCATTTAGTTATCTTGGAAAATCTTTATTTTAAAAAATTTTGTGGGGATAGTTTGTAAAAAGTTTTTTTTTACTTCAGCACTTGGAGTATGTAACTCAACTCTCTTGCAGGGTTTGTTCAAAAATTCACTGATAATCTTGTAGGAGCATGCATACCGCCATTGATTCATCTCTTTTGTCTCTGCATTCAGATTCTTTTCTGTGACTTTCAAAACTTTGCGTATATTATAGTGTCTTGTTATGTGTCTCTTTATCCCAGTTGGAGTTTGTTGAGCTTCAGTTTTAATATTTTTCTTACATTAGATATTTCTCAGTCTTGTCTTCTCTAAAACTTGTTTCTTTTTGTCATTTGTTGGCTGTATTCTTGTTTTTCTAGTTACCATAGTTTCTGTGTTCCCATGTTAAACACTGAGCATAATTGAGATGGTTGTGTTGATTTTTTTCAGATAATTTATACAGCTTAGTTTCTTTAGGGTTGATTTCTGCATACTTGTTTCTTTGATTGGGCCATCTTAGTCTGATACTTTGTATATATTCTAACATTTGGTTGAGAAATATGAAGCAGACTCCGTCTCCAAAAATAAATAAATAATAAATAACCTATCACAGTCTGTATAAAGTGGCTTTCTTTCCTGCAGTGTCTGACACCAATTTACCAGGCTAGATATTGAAATTTCTCAAACCTGTTCTTAAGATGTCTCTTCCCTATTTGTGTTCCCTTTATTGGGTTGTGGATTTGCCCATATTTCTGCTTAGAGCCTGTATTAGTTGATGATATACCGGCTGTTTTATCTGTGGTCCTACTGATCTCTCTGCTGCTTTGCTCATTTACCTTTTCTCTCACAAACACTACCCTGTCATTCAAAGTATAGCACCATTTCTTTCAAGCTCTTTGTGTCTCTGTAAACAGAAACCAGTGTCTTTGGAAAGACCCCACAAAGCTGGAAGTACGGGGCCCATGTGCCACTATTTTTTTTTTAAGCACTTTTTAGAGAAGCCAAGAGTTGAGAGTTTACACTTAAAGGCATTATTCTGTATTGGGGAGGAGGTGGAGTGTAACAAATGTTCCATTGTCTTCTATGTGGCTCTTAGCATCATTCTCATCTATGGCACTGCCATCTCTTAACTGGTTTTAGAACTCTTTTAAACGCATTTTGGTCAATATATTTTTGTTATGTTTGCATGTCTATTAAGGAATTTGGGCATGTGGTATTATGCCATCTTATTGTGCTTGGTATAATTTTATATTTTGTATTTGTAAAGTATATTCTCCTGAGTCTAATCAGTGGT